TGTGTGTTTGTGTGTGTGTGTGTGTGTGTGCGCGTGTGTGCGTGCGCGCGTGCGTGTGTGTGTGTGTGCACGTGTGAGTGTTGGATGGCGTTTAGGTGCGCGCGTGCGTGCGTACATGCGTGCGTGTGTGCGTGCACGCGCACATGTGTGTGTATGTGTGCGCGTGCACGTATACGTGTGTGTGTGGGTGTGGGTGAGCGCGAGCGTGCGTACATGGGTGCGTGCGCGCGTGCACGTACGCGTGTGTGTGTGTGTGTGTGAGGGGGGAGGAGAATAGAATATAAAACCTACTGACAGTTATCGAAAAATATGGCGACGGTAGTGTTTATGCATCTCTGAACACACTTTAATTCCCGGACATAACTTCATATCAGCTCTATATTAATCGGATACGTGGTCGTTCATTATAGTCTCCATGAGGAATTTGAACAAGATTGTTTTCTATAATAATATCTATTCGCAATATATGGGAGCAAGAAAGAAATTACGCGAACTATTATTATATGAAACATAAACGAACCCGTCTTACATGACACGTGACGGATATATGTATATATATATATATATATATATATATATAGATAGATAGATAGATGGGTGGATAGATACATTATAGCTACAGAAATATAGCGAATATATACTGAAAAATATTAATCAGTTCAAAAACGTAGCATGCGGGTGAAATTCCATCACATTTATACGAGAAGAAATCGTCGGCTTCTATGTAATTATGAATATACCTATACTTCTATGTCATTATGAATATACCTATACTTCTCAGACAGAATTTCGTTGAGTGTTATCAATAAAGAATATCGTAACTTGAATTATATTCGCGGTAAAACACGTTGAATAGTATGCCATCGGCGATAAGATGTAATCAAAATATATGATGGCGAAAAGAAATTTACTCGGAATGAAATTACGCGTAACATAATATAACCGAGCTAGAGCTGGCGTGCGTGGATTTCAGGGGACACATCATCACATCATGCACACCATAGATACTTATGATGTGCACCGGTGCGGGGCTAAGAGAGTTGTGTGTCATGTCCTGTGTGTGTGAATAATAATATACAATGTCAATAGGATCTCGTAAGAAGCCCTTAAAGAAGCAGTTACTATAGAAGCGGTAAAGTCGGGCACAATAACCGAGTTACATTAACTGATATGTATTGGCCCTAAATCAGTATGAGATCTAATACATGTCAGTGATGTGATTTTGCGCGCGCACAAAACGCTGCTGCGTAGGCGCGTCGACATTACACAGGACAACTAGCGCTACCTGCCGGTCTCCAGCGTAACGATACTGATCTGGTGACGCGGCGTCCGCGGCTCGTGGTTCTTGAACTTGCGGATGTGCTTTAGCGGCCAGTACATGACCTCGGCGTCACTTCCGGGTCGATAGACGGCGAGACCTTGGGAGGTGACCTTCAGCATGTAATCTCCCGTGAGTCGGTACTGCTCGGATGTGAACGTTGGCTGGATCCGCACCGGATACATCTTACACAGATCTGCAAAACACCAAGCGCTCACTTTGGATGCGACAAACCGCGGATAGAAAGCGGGAAGAAATCTACACCCCCGCACACTGTAGCAGTCACAGTCATACGATATGTCACCCACAGCAGGTGCGGCAATATGTACGGTGCCGTACACTGCATTCGTAAATTGACACTTTTTCTAAACATTCCCGCAACATTTATGTATTTATACAGCGTTTTTAACGACAGCAGCCACAGTTAAGCTCCATGTAGATATATTATACGTGATATAAATTCATATCGAAAATCGTTTCGAGGGGAAAGGGCGCGTCACATAAACGCTCGTTTAATGCGAACGCTTGCTGCTTGTCGTAATCGCTTTTCCGGGGCAAAGCGGTTGTCAGAGTAAACGGCGTGACGTCATTAGCGTTTTGTGCGCGATCCTGTGCAAAGAGTCGCGGCGGGAAGCGAGTAAATTTACGCGCCGTGCGTGGGTTCATATAGACGGGAGCTTAGCTGTATATGATCGTGTATGTGTCGGCTGTAGTATAGTAGCAGCAGCGTGACAACTGCGTAGATTTACTGCCGGTGGCTTATGCTGCGAGTTCTGGCGGGATTCTGCTTGACGGTCGATCTCATATGTGTACAGGCGTTTTCCGCGTTCACCACTAACACCGCCAGTCAAGATATTAGGACAGTATTATTATATGAAACATTAAAACGAACCCGTCTTACATCACACGTGACGCGATATATATGATATATATTATATATATATATAGTATAAGAGAGAGAGCAGAGAGGAGAGAGAGAGAGAGACAGGTCGAGAGAAAGAGAGAGAGGAGAGAGAGAGAGGAGAACGAGCAGACGCAGAGAGGAGAGAGAGGAGGCAGAGAGCAGAGAGAGAGAAATTTTGAAATGTGAAGCCAGCCGATTGAACGACAATAGAGTTATATTTCAGCCGTAGCACTTAGCACTTAGGCTCTAGCTTGTCGCGAACACCCGATTTACTCAACATTCGATGTGTTCCACTGCGCTGAAGTTCTGCCGCTGCAAACATCGTGCTGCGCGTAAAGCGAGCGGCAACAGTAACCAGATCTGTTGCAACTAACAATACTATTAATACACTAGCAAGCCAGCAGCAGCAGCAGCAGCAGCAGCAGCAGCCAGCAGAAACAGCAGCAGCAAGCAGACCGCAGCAGTTGTACATACGTAGAAGTAGCAGCAGCAACATCAGCAACAGAAGCAGCAGCAGCGCAACAACATCAGCAACAGAAGCCTGCGCGCAGCAGCAGTGCACAGCGTCAGCAGCACGCAACAGTAGCAGCATCATAATCATTCATCAAGCAGCCGCAAGCAACAGCCAACGCAGCAGCGAAGCAACAACAACAACAGGCTCAGCAGCAGCAAACATGAACAACAGTAAACAGCAGCAGCCAACCAACAAGTAGCAGCAGCAAGAACAATAACAGTAGCACTAGTAGTAGCAAAGAAAGCAAGACCAGCAGCCGCAAACAACAGCTAGCAGCACACACCACAGCATCATCAGCCAGCAGCATCAGCAGCGAATAGCCAGCATCATCATCATCATCATCATCATCAGCAGCAGCAGCAGCAGCAGCGCTGCCCCGAGCCACACTAACGGGCCAATCACAAATCATATGCACTCGCTTCAATACTCAGATGCAGAAGTAAATTCGTCCGTAGAGCGCAAATACATGCGCACGCGGAATGCATGCCTATCGCTACATCCACTCCTCTCACCGATGCCAAATAGATTAACACCCCGTGCATAACAGATTAATCCCCAGCCTTCCGAAACTTAAGGCCCTCAACGGGGATCGCTCGACCCAACGGTCTGCTGTAGACGCTATATACGGCGCCCATTGACGCGGCAATTTGACGTTGAAATCAATATTGATAATTGGCTGCTAGAGTTGTCTCAGTGCGCCCACGCGTAGCTCAGAGGAGCAGAGGGTACGTGTAGAGCGGTTTTATAATGCCGCAGGCTAAGGGCGTGCATATGAAGGGAAAGAAGCCATTCGGAGAGAAGCAGAGGGGGCGATGAAGAAGAGTGACGAGACAGACATGGCAAGAGAACGGAGATGAAAGCGAGAGCAGAGAGATGCGCGCTGCGCACGAGAGCGAGAGAGCAGAGAGAGAGAGAGAGAGCAAAGAGAGACGAGAGAGAAGGAGAGAAGGCGGAGAGAGGGATATGGGGGTGTTTGAGAGACAAAGCCGAGGACGAGGAGGCGCGCGAGAGAAATAGAGAGAAAGTGTGTATGTGAGCGGCAGTGAAAAGAGTGTGACAGAGCAGAGAGAGAGAGAGAGAGAAGCAGACGAGAGAGAGCAGAGAGAGAGAGAGAGAGAGAGGACAGAGAGAGAGATTTTAGAGAGAGAGAGTAAGTTAGAGGTATATGAAGCCAGCCAACGCGCGTGATGGCCGAGTTAATTTACGGCTCCTTAATTAGTCGAGCATTAAAATTGGCAAAGCGGGCTTAATTATTAATACGAACCACGCGAGTCCGCCAGCGAAACAGCGCCGCCAACGCGTATAAGCATGCGTCGTGCGCGCAACACACACACACACACACACACACACACACACACACACCCCACACACACACCACACACACGCCACGCACGCACACACACACACACACACGCACGCACGCCACACACACACACAAATACACACAACACACACACACCACACACACACACACACACACACACACACACAGGCGCGGCGCGCGCCACTCGCAACGCACACGCCACACGCACACGCACACTCGCACACGCGCACGCACACGCACACGCACACACACACACATACACACCAACGCCTCGTGCGCAAGTACGCACGCACGCGCACAACACACACACACACACACACACACACACACACACATGCGCGCGCGCACTCGCACACGCTCACGCACACGCCACACGCGCACGCACACGCACACACACACACACACGACACACACACAACACACCACACACCACACACACACAAACACACACATGCGCGGCATGTACGCACGCACGCGCTCACCGCCCACACATACACACCACATACACACACACACACACACCACACACACACACACACACACACATTACACACACACACACACACCACACACAACACAAAACCACACCACACCACACACACACACACACAACACACACACACACACACACACACACACCCAACACACACACACGCGCGATGTTACGCACGCACGCGCACACCCGCCCACACACACACACACACACACACA